CCAAAACCAAAGATTTTGAGACATGCTACTAATATATTTTATGCCTGGATAAGCATATCACAAGAAGTAACAGCAATCCTCATGTAGCTGCTCTGGGAACAGTACAGATAGCTTCTTCATGCAAGCTGTGAAAAGACACTGAGTCTAACTGCCATACTGAAGACCCACATCTACACACATGGAGCAGCGACTATGCTACAAATTAGAACTTATTTGGATTGTTCCAATGCAAAGCACAGACCAGATATACTCACAATACCGTCACTGAGGCTAGCTTATTTCGGTCCTATATGCTATACTGTATGTTTCAGTAAGCCACGTAAATTAAAAATATTGGAGAGTTCAAAATAGGTGTCTATTATTTAACTAATTTTTTACTTAAGTGCTAAGCACTTCTGTTAATTTGCCCCTAGGTGCAGTAAATCCCTTATCACACAGGCTTTCAAATTGTGGATGAGTAACAAAATTGCATGAAGCTAGGAGAGGTCCAGCATACCCAGCACAGAATAAGCACAAATAAAAATGCTGGATCTACTGCCAGAACAAACAACTTTTCGCCTTTGACAGGAGCCAACAAGTATATTTCTCAAAGAAACTACTAATACTTATAAACCTTTAGATATCTATGAAAAGTAATAGTGAATGCAGCAAGATATTTGGAGAAAAGAAGTAAAAGTAGAAGCAACTCATTTTCAAGTATGACAAATATGCAAGTATCACATGTTCCTTCAAAATGAGCAAAATATACGAGTTCCTTCAAAGTGGCATGTTAAAATCACCTTGTTCTTACTATTTTCACTCCACAGGTAGCACAGAACAACGGAAAATACCCTTGTATTCATGCCAACGAGTAAGCATGAAACGTTTTTTTACAAAATTGTGTGAAAACACTGTAAAACCAGTATACTGCATGAATTCAGTATGAAGTGATACATGTTTTATCTTACTACAGCAGAACTTAACAGAAAAGGGAAATATACATACATAAAAGTCACAGTGATTTTAGCCTATCATATGGTAATATGCAAGTCTCGAATCCAGAAGATGGCAGAATATAACCTCCTTAGACCCTAGTAAAATTGTAATTGATACCAGTTAAAATAAGTCCTGAGAATTTATGTTTGAATTATTAAATTACAGGATTTGTTCAAACCAATGAACAGTTTTCATTTCAGAGAAGAATTCCCACAGTTTTGACCTTTAAGTCGATTCCTGCAGTTATGTGGAAATTTACCCTTGGATTTCAGTAGAAGATACCACAATAATTTTACTGGAAGTGTCCGAAACTCAGTATCATACATGACAAAAAAAATTACCTAGCTATCTCATGTAGGCATACAGTTATTAAAAAAAAAAGTACACATCTAGATAAAACGTGAGTAGCAAAGAGAACAGATCTGGGAGCCTGAAATTCCATGGAAACACTTGGTATTTTCTTACACCGCCTTCTTTCAACAACAACAAACTGAGTAGACCAGTACTAATGAAGTCATCAATGACGTGATCATGTTCATAGGTCTCTATATGCAATTTGAACAGTAAGTACCATTTTTACTAGAACTTTATGCCAAATTCTCACCTAAATTTTTCCCAATACTGCTGCGTTCTTGACATAGAAACAGAAAGCCAAGAACTCTACCAATACCAAAAAAAAAAAAAAAAAGCACAAATTGTTTTTCTCCTTAGGAGAACTATGCAGAGAGCACATCTTAAAGATGTTTTCCAAGGAAGAAACAAAGCCATACAGTTAGAAAACACATTGATTAATTACATGTACATTTGCTGGCTATAAGGCTTCTGAGGCATCACCCTTTACACATGAAGACCTCTTGCTCTGCAGGCAGTGTGGATCTGTATACCAAAAGCCAAGCACTTCTTGTGACCCATCAAAAAGTTCAAACAAAACAAAACAAAATGTTTAAGACAACATTTAATTTTCAAACTCATCTATGTTAAACATATTCATTCCACTTGACAAAACTTACCAGTCAGGACAGAGAAATAAGTACTATTTCTGCATTCAAAGAGGGCTTCTTGTTAGAAAAAACAAAAAAACAAAAAAACAAACCCACCTCCCCCCCAGATTCACACCATACTACTGGAACTATCAAGTACCAGAAAGGGTATATTTTATTACTACTTACCACTGAAGAAATTTCATTCATTACTTTAAATAAGCCATAAAAATCACAATTCAAATTGGTTACCATCCTTGCCAGAACTCAGAAAGAGAACTGCAGTTGTATTCACAAGCACCTGCTAGATTACTGACATAGCAAGACACAAAATGGACAAAGTCTTTAAGCAAAAGTAATCTATTTCTAACAAATTTCACAAGTTAATTTGAAAAATATTCCAATACACTGACTTAAAAGGTCCATTTAATTAATAGAAAAATACATAAAACCAATTAGAGCATATTCTCAAGTGGATCAGGATAGGGAGGGGGGGAAGGAGAAATTTAACTACTTAACCCCATACCTGCGCAATCCTAAATCAAGCTGAGCCTCATCACTGATGAGTTCTGCCTCACTCTGGGCAATTCTCATTGCAAGCTCACGATCACGACGCTCCTGTTCAAGAACCGCCTGGTGCTGGGTTTCCTCTTCTCGTTCTCTAGCTAGCTGAGCCTCAATTTCAGCCTGTTTTACAAAAACACAACTTTAACCTTATACAGTCAAAACCAAAATGCTACCTACATAAGCAAACTATTAGAAAAATATACCAAGTAGTATATTTAGAGCTTTCAAAACATGCAAAATTTACAGAACTGAAAAAGTAACAGCATTAGTATTTAGTTTGACCCAAGAAAAACAAAACAGCTACAGATTGCATCTTGGTTTACATATAGTTTATCAAATCATTATTGTCCACCACTTGTATTACCTTTTCAAATTAAAGCGTCAATCAATTATTCCTTATTTAAAAAAACACATGAAGCTTTTTGTTAACTATTATGAAAATTAGACTTCAAAAGTTTTTAGAATCATTAAAGCTCAGACGAAAGAAAGCAATATGGTTACTCCTCCATAGCGCTGACACAATACTCCCTTGACGTTCTGCACTTGGCATTATAGGACTTTGCAACAGGCACTGCTGTGCATATAAGTCTGTGGTTCATTCTGAGAAGGGGTCAAGACAAACACTGGAATCCTCTGTGGACCTGATCTGGCTTTGAATTTAAGCAAATGGTAAAATCCTGACTTATTGCAATGCAGAAGCAATCCAGATATACTGCCTCTGCAGAGCAAAACTTAATTCCAGTTTACAATCATTATTTAACAAAGGGTCTTGCACACACACTAAGTAAAAATGCGACCATCCAAGTCATACTTCTGAAAGTCATACACGACAAGTCTTAGGAGTGTCTTTCTCGGTGCCCAAAACTCAACAGACAGTCACTTCGCGCTCATTATCACGAATTTGCACCACTCCAGCAGTGCAGTAAGACCAGTGACTTTACTCTATGAATTCCATTTTAGATTAGCTGATAGTAACAACCACCAGAAGGAGAGATTGTGAGTAATTAACTGTATGTAGAAGAAAGAAATACCCTACTGGATTACATATCTGCTTTGTATCCAAACACAGCATTTCTAAGTAAAAGTGTAAATTACATGCTGCATTGCAGATATCCACATAGAAACAGAAACAAAGAAACAATCCCTAGAGATGCTCATAGTGCTGGCAGACCAAGTTTTTAAACCTTCTGGCAACAGTCCATCTTGCTTCCTCAGTGGACAAAGTTTAATCCATTTAAACTGTCCCTGAATGGAAGCTTACCCTATCAATTTCTCACAAAACACTAGGCACATCTGTAATGGTCTCCAAGCAATGATTTAGAGACCAGCCAAATAGCAACTTACTCTTTTTATGTTTAACTTCTGAAAGCTGGTAGGGCTTATTATTCTGATACAGGTGACAGACCCAATAGTACAGGAAAGATTCATTTCTCATCAAAGTTAGGCTATAATTTCTCTGCTAGTTCTAGCAACTTGTTTATCAGGAACAAGGGTAAGGTGATTGAAAAAAGTATGCAGAGGCAAGGAGGATAAGCAGGGCTAGGCTAACTCCAGGGATTACAAGATACAGGAGAAAAATTCTGCTTCTGATTAATCATGGACAGGGCTTAAAAGAGTCTGTAAACATCAGTGACCACTGCACTGCACTTGCTACAACTACCCCTACAGAGAAGTTTTTTCTCTCTGAGACTGCTCTCCCAGGTGACCCAGGCAATCTCCAAGACAAGTGGAAAACAAGGGTACAGGGGCCAAACACACCTCAGAGTGAGAGTTCACGATGGGATCAGTAAGAAGCATCAGGAATCAAGTGGGAGTGGTGGAGGTGTAGGGTTTGAATTACATGCATTTATTCTACATGAACGTAGTCAAGGGGGCTACTAGAGACAGTCCTGTAGCCTCTCATTATTACCAATATTCCCAAAGTTTTTACAGTTAAGCTGGTACATGACACAGCCTGAGTCCAGATGTGACTTCTAGTAAAAGAGTGGCAAACCTGCCTGACATGGAACATCTGCAAAAACTTCAAAGGCTAAACTAGGATTCTCCAGTGTTGTGTATTTTTAACCTTAAAATAACTTTAAAAATCCTTTAAAAACAAAGGCACCTCTAGTCAGAAGAACCTGAACTTGCATGTAGACTAGAAAAAAAACCAAACCAAACCAAAAAAAAACCCCACACCGCTAAAACATTACCTGAATACGCTTTTCTTCCTCTTCCCTCTTTTTCCTCTCTTCCTCTTCCTGTTTTCTCTTCGCCTCAATCTCAGCTTTCCTATTACAAAAGAGAATGAGGAAATGAAACATGTTATTATGATGCAAATAAACAAGAGATATGAAAGCATCTTCCATAAAATTGAATGGTAATACAGAAGTGCTGATGACAGGACAGTACATGTAAAGTCAAGAAACTTTCCAAGTCTATCTGTATTTCCAGCAGCATCATATAATTTCTTCCATACCCTATTCTGACTATACTTACCTTATAAATCACTGGGAAAGGAAACGTTTTAACACTGCATAGCACACCAGGAGTACAATCCAAGAGACTCTTTTTAAGCATAGGAGTATTAAAACCAACCTTATTAAAGTGCCTTTCCTATTTTTTTTTTCATTCTATAAACCAGCAAGTTATTCAAGACTTACAGACGTCTTTCCTCTTCTTCCTTTCTTCGTTGCTGCTCTTCCTCTTCACGTCTCTTTCTTTCTTTTTCCATTTCCTCCTGGATGCGTCGTAGCCTCTCTGCTTCCTCCTCTTGCTGTTTCTTCTTTTGCAGTGCACTCAGAAGCTGCTCTGAGCTTCTAACTAGAGCGTCATATTCTTTCTGTATCTGTTCCCTAGTCATTATAGTGGTCTGTGAAATGAAATAAGAGGGGATTATATTCCTTTACCTTTGTACTTCACTTTTAAAAAATGTATATTGAAAAAATACTAAGTGAAATGAGAGCATTGAGCAGTATAATTAAATTATATATACACTTCAGGGTGGGGGATGAGTTTGAGCACATCCTTCCCTTCTTTCCTAAAATCCTGGGGATCCATTACTCTCCTCTCTCATATAAAAACATACAAAGCAATCTCCATTTTATCACTGAAATGAAACATGACTTCTCTTTAAAACATGCCTTCATTTTTTAAACCTTGCAGTTTTAAGCAACAGAAATTAATTCTTACCATGCTAAGATAAAAACTAAGGACCTCCTACGTGCATTTTGTGTTGTGTTTAGCTTCTATAGTGGTTATTTACAGCTCTGCCTTTTATGTCATAGCACAGAATAGTTTCTCTTACTATGTCTGCTAGCACTTCAGAAAAAATATTAGACCGTGCTGTGACTAACTTTTTTAAAAAAAGGTATTAGTAGCAAATAACAGGTGGAAAATACTTAGAACAATAGCCTTTGCTACATATGTTTTCAAACATCATTGATAGCTACAATTTAATTGCATTTTACGATTCACATTGATGTATACTAATAAAACTACAATATGGGGTGTTTGCTGACCTTTTCTGAAGGTGTATCATGATGATAATCAAACTGTCTTATTTTTATTAGAAAAGAAAACTATAAGTTGACAGACTAACTCTATCATCTTTTCAACTGTGATTTTAAATAGAAAAATCTCAATACGGTACACTAAGAAAGCCATAACATTGCATGAAACAAAATTCAACACATGAAATTTTTTCTAACATTAATAAATCTCAGTATGCTTTCATTTTGTCTGTGTACTCTTCTGGTAAGAAACAGAGAACTATAGACCCTGAAGCATAATCAGCAAGCTAAATTCTCTTTACTACCTGCCAAGTCTGAAAAAAACTTTTAACTGTAATATAAATCTCTTCACTCTGTGATAAATGCTTGTACGTTTCAGCCCTGATAAATTTAAAACATTGCTAATATGCATTATTCCAATAATAAAAGCAATAAGCAAATTACTAACACTTGTCTCACAATATCAACCTGCATTTTTGCTTTAAATTCTCCAGTGCCAATTTGGAAACACAGATAGTAATACCAAAGTCTAGATGTATGCACCCAGTTTCAGGATTCACTTCAGCTACATTCACAAATAATTTCAAACAGGATTTACCCAGTGCCTCTGAAAAATACCTTGATTTTTGTCATTGAAGCATCAATAGAATACTCCAGCTCCTTGACCTGCTTGCTTGTCTCTGCCTTCCCCTCCTTCAGAGCACTTACTACTTCGTTAAATTTATCAAGTCTCTTCTTCAGCGTACGCACTTTTATCAGGCCATCAATGCTGTAAAGGTAAGACAGTTTATTTGTATCTTGACATGTTTTTACAAGGTTATATTTTTAAAACTATCACTGATTCCGCACATTAAAGAGGTAGAGGGGAGACAAGTTATGCCTTCTGATAAAACTCACCCTCTTTTTTTGAAATTCAAACAATCACATGAAGTAGCTAAGCAATGGAGCCTTTTGCAAACAATAATGAAAACTGATTAGCAGATGGTAACTCAAAATGGAAAAATGCATTTTTATTTTAAGAATTAATGTGGGGTTTGGGGTTTTTTTTCAGTAACAAATCATTAGTATCCACTGGAGGATTTTGACTGGAGCGGATAAAGCTTGAGTTGTGCCACTTACTCAAAGAGCAATAATGAGACTGAATCAGATAAAACTTAACTACACAGCAGGGAACCCAGTCATTAGACCCCATGGCGGGGGCGGGGCAGGGGGCAGAAAAAAGCCTGGGGAAAGGAAGAGTCCAGGAAAACTTGGAGCTTTTTAAAGAACCAATACTGAAGGCTGCACATACACGTTACAACTCTGCAGAGACAGTCTTTCTAGAAACAAATCACTCAACTGGAATTCAGGAAAACAACACACAAAAAGTAGAAACTAAATCAAATCATTAAAGGTGAGTACAGAACAGCTTAAAAATATAGTGAGATGGTCAGAAATGCCAAGGTAAAAAATAAAACATAACTATCAAAGGATGTAAAAGAAAACATTTTATAAGAACCCCACTGTTAAAGAACAGAGAGTTGGATCTCTATCAAAGAACAAAAAGGTGTCAGCAGAGCTTAATGATCAAAGTGTTTTTTCCATCAGTACTCCATGCAGTCAGATTAAAGCTAATGGAATTACTTAAATTCAAGAGGAGACAAGACAGACAGAACACACAATTATTTTTAAAGATTAAAAAAGAAAGGGGAGCTATAAAGGAAGGTGTGAATAGGTAAAGGACAAAAATTAATGAGCTTAAATTTCATTTAGAGAGACTTAACTAAGGATTTCAAATAACTAGGCTATCACTGAAGGATTTTATGAACGGAGAGCTGAACAAACATCTCTTAGGAAAAGTTCAGATTTAGGCTATTTATCCTTGGGAAAAAGAGAGGAGGAACACGGCACCTCTCAAAGTCCCCTTCAGTCATACTTAGCGTCATTCTATGACTTCAGATGTATTTAGTTAAGCATAGTAAATCTCCTCTTTACATTCACAAGAAAATATTATTAAAAATCCATTTTCTTCAACCAAGGAATATCCTCTTACCGTGGTTTGTGCTTTCTCTTGCAAAGCCACATACGAATAGTCTTTTGTATTTTAATGCAGGCACTGGCTCGATATTTTATCTTATTTTTCACTGTAAACACAGAGAACATACTGAGTCTCAATGGTTTACACAATTTAACACAACTCCTATATTACTCACACACTTGATGGCTCAAAACCGTATGTAGACTACGTGTGCTTGATAGCTAAGTCTACATCGGAACCACAACACTGAAGACATGTCAGACAACAGAATTCACAATCCTGAGCCAGGCATAGAGGCTCCCACCCAAACCAAACAGAATTAAGCGTGTGCACAGGTGCAATAGTGCCACACTATCAATAGCAACAGGCACTTATTTGCTGATCAGCAGTAATTGCTGGAGTGAAGACGTTTGCCTCGTAATTCATGTCAGAGCTTTTAAACACGCAGTTTCCGTCCAGAGATGACAACCTCTGTACAGGCACTTCCCAGAACTAAACTGACAACCATGTTGTCAGCTGCGAGTTGAACTACTGTTCTTGTAGAAGTCTCTTTCCTGCAAGACCTGTGATAGCTAGTTATTTCTGTGCAAGTGTTTATCCAGGCTTCAGTAAGCACCCAAACAGACTGGACACGGAAGATTGGTGGTGGGCTGTATGTCCCACTTGTAAAAACCTCTGCTCTAAGCCCCCTCTTATGTACCTAAGAAAGCATAAAAAAATCCCACCAAGTATGGTGAGCAATTAGTATGTAACCATACATGTCCTTAGCCACATTTCAAGGTGGTAACAATTGCTTTGCTATATCTTTAACAAACATTTTGATTTAATAAAATATAAAATACATACATTTAATCACTGAAAGAGAACACCACTGAACTTTTTTCCAGCGACTGCAGATAAGCCAGTGATTCACTCGTTTAACTAGCTCTGCTAAGTGATCCGGATCAGACTTCATTATCTGATCAAACTCTGCAAACTAAATTAAAAAAAAAAAAGTTTTACAAATGAGGAGAACAGAGAGTGTTAGGCATTATTATTTAAGAGCATGTTGAGTTAAAAAGGTAAGATATTTTTAATGTAAACTGTATGTCATAATTATATCAACTTTCAATTAATTCAAGTGAGCAGGTATGTCTCACATCACTTTATTCTTTAATAATAATAAAAATGACTACTGGGTTTTTTTGTTTGTTCAGTTGATGTGCAACACTTAGCACTTTGAATAATCCAACCATTTATTAATCACTAAAAATATTTATTGCCAAAATTTTTCAAAATTAATTGTTTCTCTACATCCTGAACACTTACTCTGGCCTTCCACAACTTCAAGACACCTCTAATTTTGTATCTGGGAAAACAGAAAGCCCCGAAAGCACTTCTCAATTTTTAACCTTTGTATAAGAGTCCAACTAAAGGCAACCTTTTCTGAAAATCCTGCACTTCTACTTTTCAGTAATTATGACAGTAAGAACATTCTTCTGGGACTACAATAATTTTCCTTTCTAGTCACAACAGCTCCCTACTTCATCTCCTTTCTCTGCATAGCAGCAGAGATCACAGAAAGATATTTCAGCTATAGTTTTTACTAGAAAATACTTTTCCTTTGCTCTGACTTGCTCTTTCTAATAGTCAGCGAAACTCTTAAGTGACTGGTAGAACATCTGGGAATACAAACATTGCATTAGGAATACAGCAGCATTAGCAACAAGCCTATGAAACCAATTATATCAGTTATTATATGTATTTTCTTTCATAGAAAATGAACAGGAAAATGAACAGTATTTACAAAAGCCCTGGGCAACCTTATTTAAGTTGGCCACACTTTTAGCAATGTATTGAACAATGTCACCTTCAGAGGTCCCTTCCAGCTGAAATTATTCTAAGATTCACATTCATGAATTCCAAGAGAAACATTACCTTGCCAGGTCTGAAAAACACCTTGGTTAACCCGAATTTGTAATCATTTTCATTCAGTCCCAAGGCTCTAAATAGTGCCTGAAACACAGAAAACAGTTAGGATTATATTCTGGCTCCTTCAAAAAAAAAAAAAAACCAAAAAATGGTCAAAAACCACAAAAAAACTCCCACGATACGTTTTCTGTCCTGGACGATATAGAAGAATTAATTTCTTTCTTACCTTGCAAAAGAGCCTAGGATCCAGTCGAGCCAATTTTTCAGGCAAGTATTTCTTGTACATATTATACAGTTCATGAAATGAAGCTCGTGAAGGGAAACCACCTTGCATCAAATCCAGAACAGACACCATTCCTAGATTCATAGAAACATGCACAAAAGCTGGTATCAGTAAAATGCAAATGAACAGTGATTTTAATGATAACCAGTAGTTTATGACATAAGCCTCTATGACATTGTTCAGAGACTAAGCCTCGAAGTTCAGCTGGGACTTGACCCAGCCTCTAACATTTCTTGCTCATGTGATCATTCACAAAAAGTTAATACTGAACAGATGAGAAAAGCACATACAATTTTCTCCCTATTTGGGAGGTAAGTAACACCCAGTCATGCATTTTTTCTATTATTTCTTCTAAATATTTTTTTCTTTTTAGCAGACTCAACACTTTTGTTTTTTAAAAGGAAAAAAAACCCCAAACCAAACAATGCCCCGCCAGACTTTTCTTTCTATCATGTCAATGGTATTTGTGAGATGTGGTACAGATGCAGTGTCAAATACATATGCAGTGCTAGAACATTTAGCATACTAGTACTTGCAGTACTAGGTATAAGCTGCTAAGATATAATTTTAATGTCCTGAATACTGTTACCATATTTTGGCTGCAACTAGGACATCAGTAAAGCACAGACACAGAGTCAGTAAAAGGTTCAAATTACTTCAAGCAGCACAGGCCATGCCAGTTTTTGCCCGCTGCTTTACATAACCCTATCACCAGATTCTGCATATAAGCTTTCAAGTTAGTCCTTAACTTGTGGCTGCTGTCTTTAAACTTAACCTTTTGCATATTTGCTTTCAATTGGAAATTTGACTTGTTTACACTAAGTCTTTTTCAAAAAAGATTTTATAGCATTACATCTTGCTTTTTCAACTTTACATATTATAACTTTTACTAGATTAAGCTTCATCTGCTGTTGCTGAAGTAGCACATATGGAAAAGTGAGCTTGTAAGACAACTGTAAAACATTGCAATTATTGGGGGGGAGGGGGAGTTAATTTGTTATTTTTTCCTCTCTGACATGCCAAGTGCTGTTAACCTGAAGAAACCTACTGCTAATGATGTTAATGGCATTCTAATTGCTGAAAAGTTGTTAAGCTTTTGTGACAATAACATGACATATTAAACACGTGGACTTGTCAAAACATCAGCTGCAGTATCTTGACTTCAGAAAGAGAAAAAATGAAGCACAAGCTACTGAAAGTACAAAAATACGGAAAAGGGAAAAAAATTAATGTCAAAGTGCTTTGATGAACAAACGCCCTATGAAGAAAGACAATACTAGCACTCTAATTCCCAAGCAAGCAGTTCCTTCTGCTGTTCAGTGGGGCGTGTGCAAAACAGCTAATACTCATTCTTTAAAATAAAGCTGTAAAATTGGAAAGCGCCTAGCATTTAAATAATGCAAATGCAGCACTGCAATCTGTAGTATATAAAGCAACAGGATAGACTATGCTGCAGCGCCCTTGTTGGAAGTTCAGCTCCAAATCAAATTAGCAGTGGTATAAAGAAATTTTGAAAAAGTAAAACAAGATGATTCATCTCTACCATAGTATCTATGAAATCAAAGAAAAAGGTGTGTTTCAATTATTAGATATCTCAGCTAATACTGACTGCCTCTAAATGCACACAGGAGTTTCTAACACTTGATTTGCCACAGTAATTTAAAGGAATTATATTTTCTGGACTGAACTGCTGCCCTATTAACGTTGTGGGGAACAGAGAAAGATGGGATTCAGCTCCAGGTCAGGAAACCTAAATTTATGTACCAATATATGGCTACATGGCTTCTTACATATGCACCTGGTGTCTGAACTCTCATTATCATCAATGGAAAAAACAGTTGATGGAAATTACATCAACTCTTCTTGCAAAGAGGAGACCTTATGGCTGTTCAGATGAATTATTTCTAGGGTTCTACTGAATAAATGAGAGCTAAGTTACTAAGAAGCTAAATAACTGTTCATAAGGCATAAATAAGCTACCTTCTAGAAAGCAAGAGTTCAAGCAAGGAAATACTGCTTCCATCTCACATATTTCAAACTTAGGTCAATCTATAAATGTCCAAAGTAATAAACAGAGAGAAAAATATCAGAGGCATACGTTACCTGAACACTGAAGCTGAGAGAGGATCTGTCCTCCTTCAAAATGGTGATTTGTCATCTTTAAATTAGGTTTGATACAGCGAATAAAGCTAGACCCCTATTACCAAAACAAGAAGTTAGCAGAATCTGCACATTTTTAAGCCTCCTGAAATAACAGTTAGTTAGTCATTTAAGAATTACGGGTGGAAAAAAAAAAAGATACAAAATCTCCAAAAGGTACAATTTCTCTAAAAGAGAAATACTGACATGCTTTTTCTCTCATGTATCAGTTTTGCACTCTAGCCTTGGTCTTGATGTAACTGATCTCAATGCTCAAGGTATTAATTGGATCCTCAACTGCTGAGTTTTCACTCAACTGTTCTTCTTAACATTAGTACAATCTAATCACTATTTAGCAGTCTAGATCCTACTACCATCATTATCTTCTACAGTCACGTCACCTAAATGCCTTAGTGTCCAGAGTTCACATTAGTGAATGTGCTATCAGCCTCCTGACATTGGAATCATGCCAGATGAACTTGACCTTCCTTTCTTCCAACTTTTACTTTTTACAGTTCCTTCTGGCTCATGGCTTCACTCTCCCTTCCCCCATGTTGTTCCAGTCTGCTCCTCTCTTATCACCATGTGTGCTACCTCTACAATTTTGAGCACTGCTTTTTCTGATCATTTTACATTCATTAAGGATGACATTTTTGCAAAACACCATCCAATTATTCAGATTTTCCTGTAACAGGTGGCTGCTAATGATAACCTACCTTATACATAAAACCAAAACTGGGACTGAGAAAACATTATATTACTCCTGGTTTGCAGTGTCTTCTCTCTTTTTCCATCTCTCAGCTGAGAGTGAGAGAGCACCTGCCAAGGGAGCTCTATATTAACAATACATCCTCAGTCATGGGTTAGCTAAACTCAGAGTGCAGCAAGCCTGGCCACATACTTTTTTCCCTGGACTGGGTCTCAGTTCCAGCGTGTTCTGTGTGAAAGAGATCATCTTTTTTTCAGACCAGGCTCACAAGTACAGTAAAATCTTCATGTCAGCTACACTCCAGCACCTGTCCCATTTGTTTCCCATGTTTTTCCCCCTTTTTCTTTTTCTGACAGAGCATAACCTCATATCTAGAATTGCTTAGAACACGCGGTCAAGAGAAACAAGAACATGTTCCTACAACTACAAGTTCTAAAAAAAAAAAAAAATGGGTATGTTGAACTACATAGAGAATTCCACAAACTATCAAATTATATCAGCTAAAATAGCAAATACTCATTAGGGGAATCAGGTTCTTTTACCAGCTGTAATTTACAAAAATGAAATGAAACATTTTATTTTTAACAGCTTTATGGAATCTGAAAACAGTAATTAATAATTTATTATCATCTGCCTTAATTCTAAATAATGTCTCTAAATCTTCTGCAAATCAGTCAATGATAACCAGTGCAGGGAAGTAAAAGTGACCAAAGAGGAGACTGTAGCCCAGACAGATTTCATACTATTTACTCCAGTTGTGTAACTTTCATTCTACAACTTTTTAAAAAGTGGTGTTTTTTTTTTTTTAAAGTAACGCAATAATCCTGCGCGGCAAGACGTTTCAAAAGTGCCATATAACTGCAAACTCTAAAGCAATTACTTATCACATTTATTTTAAGCTATATTGTTGAGATAATCGATTATGACTTATAAAGTTATGAACATCTGAATTATGAACGGCATCTGTATATATACTCACAGTACTGTGAAGCTTCTCAAGAAGCAAATTTAACTGAGTCTGTAAAAGAAAACAGCTATTTCAAGACTCTTACCATGACAGCTACAGAAATATACACACAGAAGAGTGGTATTGCACTACCGCATGCATGTTTACTGTTAGTAAATCAGACAGAATTGTTAAATCAAATGTTCACAAATTTTAACAGACAAAATCATGCAAGAGTGCATGAATGGTCCTGAGGAAATTGTTGATGTTTCATTGTACAACAACCCTGTACAGACTAGTTACTTACTGCAACATAGTTATCAAAAAAAAAAAGTGCAAGCCCATTCGGGAAAATAAAGGAAATAATGCCTATGTAATAAAATTATAAAGAACATTAGACTGATCAGCAATAATTAAAAAAATAGACTGAAAATTTGTGAAAACCCAACTTTAATCTAAAAAAGCATATATTTGTATGTTAAAATTAACACAGAGAACAGATATGCTCAGGGTTTTCTTGTGTTTTTTGAAGCTAAGCCAACTTAGGTGAATGGACCTGCATAATCTGTTTTTAATTCCATAATTCCAAATTTTTAATTCTCTGTTGATGACATCACATTTACTGAGGCTGGATTGAAACATACTGTGATGAGAAAAGACCACAGTCCTATGATTATGTGGGAGCAAGTCTATAGGATCACCAGAGACTTAAGGTTATCAGGGAAAACGAGTAACAGTTGCTACTGAAGACAACTGGTTGGGACTTAAAGTATTTCAGAACCACATCAGGAAAACAGCTATACTTTTACTTTACAGATGTGTCTGTTTACCACATACATTACTGCTGTGCCAGCCTTTCTAGTTTACTAGCAAGCATTAAGTATATAGACCGAAGTAAGACAAAATTCTGTGTGTCCTAACATATTCCTCATTTTCTGTACTGGAATCAAAATTGAAAGGATCTGACTTTTGACTAATGTTTTTTAACCAGATCCTTCTATTACCTTAAATCCAAGAAACTCAACTTGAATAGGCAATATGCGTCACTTACAGCTGCCAGTCGTCCTTCCAGTAGATAAAATTGGTTTGGGTTGTTTTTAGCTTATCATGGATATGGTTAGAAAGAGAGAAGGCGTGCCAAAAGAGGCATGACAAACACTAATAACCTCCTGCTCGGTTCTCACTTCCACATACTCTTTATCTCTCTACGTGAATATGATCTTCATGTTTTCTTAAGTTAGAAATGCTTAATTTTGGAAGGGAGAGCCTAATTTCCATCAACAAAACACATTTCTGCTAGAGGAAAAATACCCCTTCCTTATACTCTGTGATTTGACAAGACATAAGCCAGAGCCATTCTCAGGTAAATTTCACTAATGAAATGATTATATGAATAAAACATATTGCTAGAACTACTGCTCTTTGAATTATCACAATTAATCTATCGTTACCATAGTAAGGTAAAATCATCCCAAAGGTTCTTGAGTAGATCTGATGAACTAATTTTTCATTATTTCCTCAACTGATTTATAAGAATTAATTTTAATTAGTTATAAGGAAGGGATGTGTGAAGGATTTCATAAAGAGAAGTCCCTGCAACATCATCTAATAATTGATGTAATTAGAAGAATTTGAGACTGACTTACATACTGACGCACTAAGAATTCTTATTCTTAAAGAGATGAGATTTCTACTAAGGTAACAGAACATATTTTGATGTCATCTGAAGTGAAATTTTCAAGGCTATTAGTGTTCATCAGCAGCACATGTTGTGTCTGGGAAGGTAACACTAAATGAATTACTGGAAGTAACACATACATTCAAAATGCCATGAAACTTGAAAACATTGAAAGAATTATAGATTGATGGGCCAGATCCAAAGAGGACTTTAGTCACGTTCTAGGTGCAGAGGTGAACACCAAAGTCCAAAAGGCAATCCAAAGAGTTCCCCACTCAACTGCTGCTTAACTTAAAAAATGCCTCCCTTTTTACTTCAGCCCTCCTTGGACAATGGTACCATTCACATGTCCACATCTACTGCATGTGGGGTGCTAAATCCAAGAGGAATTGAAAACCCAGATGGAAGAAACTATCTCAAAGATCCCACGGGTGTTTTAATTTTGAAAATGCAGTTACAAAAAACAATGGATCCTAGCTTCACCTACAACAGACTCATGGTTGCAGGGTTTGCTCAGGAGATGTCTTATCTGTATGTCATTTCATTTTTCAGTCTGCCTTTTGATCATGCATTTTATATTAAACCCATTGCTACAGTTTAATTCTACAACCACTATACAAGGAGGAGGAAATAATTGTCAGAGCAAAACTCAAGAGAGCAGGCTGCCCAATTCCCAGTTAAATACCAAACCTACCACCTTACAATTCAGGTTCTGTCTCCTACTCTTCCTGGCCCCATCAAAATTTAATTTCTAGCTACATAGCAACCCATCTCTAGAAGGCTATAAGGAGAATCCCCTTTGTCAGATTGACCAGTAACTTGGCGCTACAAGAAATACAGTAGACATAAAACACTGAATACAGTATAGACCTGAAGCTGAATACTGTTGCTACACAAAAAGCAAGTGCTGCTACGATACCCTTCCTGTTCTTCATCCCCCGCACTTTTAGAGAACAGTTCTAAACAAATCTAGCCACAAGATACAATTATGCAACAAGGAATTTATCTTGCAGTCCTGATTCAGCACTTAACCTTGACACGGAGCAGAAATACAGAAATGCTCTTCCGCTATTGGCAGTGCCCCACCCTACAAGAATGTTTTTGAATTGTGTAAGATACCTTTCCCAGGGACTTCATAAGGAGTCTAGCTAGGAACGTGATGTGGGGTTTTAGGTGCCCTAGGTAAGGTAGCATACCAAAAATGTTGCGGCACTTGACTTGAAGGCATACAAATCCTTCATTGGATCTGGCCCAGATGTGTTGAGAAGAGCTCTTGCTGAAATTGCAGCAGCTCTACCAACAGTAAATCCATGAGATTGAAAAATTTACCTGCAGCCCACAGTTGTGCCTGCTTTTCATCTCTTAATTCCCCTATAGTTCTCTTTCTAGCCATCCTGAGCTGGACTAGTCCAGCTCAAATAAAACTGCTGAATGAGAAAAGGATGCAGAAAACATTTGGAGAAGACAAGGTTTGAAGATCAGCTTTACAACAAGCGGAAGAAAGGAGAAAACGAGGAGAAGCATCAGATTCAGGTATTGAGAAAGGAAACATTCAGCACAATGAACATCTTTCTGTGAAAGCCATGACTATCTTTTATATTTTAGAAGAGGAAAAACAGTGGTTAGGTTAGGTACTGAATTTTGAGAATGGCAAACTGTAGCCAATTGATACACCTTCTAGAATGCACAATTATGACAGAAGAACACCTTTTGTCACATTTAGAACCCCTTAAAGTCCACAGAATCTGAATTTAGATCAAGACTTTAAACCTTTTGAATAAAGACTTCCATGTGGCTTTGCAAAATTCTGACTTCAAATCTGACTGTATAATGCCTGTAAGGTCTATTATGAAACCTCTTTTTGACAGAAATGCATAGCACGTAGCTTGAATATACTGGTTTCTTATAATCCAACAGAAAAGGTCTATTTAACAAAATTTTCTTTGTATGAATCTCACCACTAGTTCTGCCAAGCTTAGGTTCTAGTTATTTCAGGTAACTTAAAAATGGCTTATATTACAAGAAGATAAGATTCTTTGCTATATTATGTTACCTTGAATTTGTTTCCCACACTGATGAAACTAAGTTTCCCAGCTTTTTGTTTGGGATCCTTGTTGTTGTTAGTGTTAGATTCAAATAGCTGTCGAACAAACTTGTCCTTGGATTCACATATAAGAGATTCAAGGGACATGTGCAAAGCATCATTGTTTTTTTCCACAAATTGCATCTGAAAAGACAACCCCAAAAATAATAGTACATCTGTTTCACTGCCCCAGTTACTTAAGACTTAAAGGAAATTAAGGAAAACAATGTTAGATACTTAATTAAAAAATCAGCAAGAATATGTGGGAACAACTTTTCAACTGGACACACAAAACACTAATCACAGAGAGAAGAGATATTCTTAAATTTGAAGGATGTTGGAATCATGAAACCCAAGGTAAGGTTCAGTGCCTTTTAAGAGATCAGTTGTTGTTTTGTCAATGATTATCCTCCTTGTTTCCATTTCAAGCACTCAGCACATCATCACTTGGGAGTTCTGAGAAGCTTAATTCTTCACTGCTTGTAATACCACTTAAGATCTGTTGTGAAATGGGAATTAACATGCACACTTTAATTGATGCATCTACAGAGTTTGGAAAATGAAATGAAAAATGGTTATTTTAGTAGCATTATGACTATTTAAGAACAGTTGATTTAATAAAAGATATTGTCCCTTCCAACAAACCTTACCTCTCTGGTTTATTTAAATTGGCTCACTAACTTTTAGAAGTTAAGAACAGTACACTGAAATTCAGAGATCAAGACACTAGTATTCAGGTTTGCACTAACAAAATTCTCAATAGCTTTTGGTGCAACTTTAATGGTGACCTTGATATTTATGAACAGAAGCAGCTAAGACTAATTTGAAGAAAATACGAACTTGCCAGATATCCCATAAAGGGATTTAATGGTGATGAGAATCAAAGGACAAACACAGGCCTCCACAATTCCCTTGGACTATGAAAACACAAGACTGGAATACGAATGCAGCCAGAGGAGCTTCTTCACCACAAATCAGATCGTGAGAACTGCCACAAGTGCAGTGAGAAAGAGAAACAAGTAACAGGTGGTTACAGGTACAAGGCAGCTAGTCCAAAAGTTTTAAGGCCCAAGTTAATTAAATCCCTCTGAGGGATGGGGTAAATTAAGTCAAGCATATCAGCACAGCTTCTGGACCAGAGCTACCTCATATCTGATTAGCTCTGACAGCAGAGTTTATGTGCTCATATCTGGGTCCTCTGTTCGTGAAGACACTCTGAGGTATCGTGATGAGGTACACAGTTAAACACAGAGCACTTGGAAGAAATGTGTTCCAATTTTAGTTATTATTTTGGTATTGGCTCGCTGAGTGACCTCAGAAAAATCAGGTAGGTAACACACAGACTTCAATTTTCTTATTTGTAAAATGACCTACAGAATGTGCCTACTTCAAAACAGCACAGCAAACATTATCATTCTTGGAGTACTTTGAAGTAAATAAGAAGTACACATTTTCAAATGACAAAAAAAACATCTTTGGAAGTAGCTTCCCTCTTACACACTGGAGTTACAGACCAGAACAATAAAGCCTTATGGATCTTCTGTTTATCCTAAACTCTTATTTTTTAAAAAAATAGGTTTTAGCTATCAGCTTCAGGTGTTTCAATGCCTTTGTATGATGAACAGTCAAAAAAGTACAAGAATGCAGAGTGTATCTTGAGGGTAGCAATTTCAGGTATTTCGTATTCTTACATGAATGATTCTATTCCCAGTAGAAATGGAAAACAAAATGTAAGAAATGTGATTTTTAATGTAACATAAACAGTGATTGCGTACAAGGATAAGCATGCTTCCAAAAAGTTACTCTTAAGTCTAACAATACTTTTGTATCACATAGTATATTCCTCTCCCCAAGATGCAAAAGTCTGTTGATGTAAGATTTGCAGTAGATCATGAATGAATATATTTTATATTGACACCACTACCTATAGATTTATAACCAACTCTTACACAAAATATATGTCACCAAAACAGTCTGTAATCTGAGAAGTTAAAAGAAACTGTCAATTCTGTCACATACTCACAAAATTAGTTTCAAAGCTAAGACTTATCAACTTTTGAATTTGTCTTCTGATGCAAGGAAATTTTGTTATTTAACCTATATACACTGAAAAATATAAAAGTACTACAAAGTGTAACAAAAATAGTTTTGCATAAGTAAAATTACCGTCTCATAGCATACTGCTCCTGCAAAATGTCGGATAATAAAGCCTTCATCATCTCTGATATTTCTGTGAACAGCCAATTTAGACTTTCTAGGAATCTGGAATTAAAAAGTTGAAATACAAAGAAGAATTACAGTGGAGAATGAAGAAAAGTTTATTCTTAAAACATCATCATCATTCTGCCAGGAACACTAAGTGTTGAAAATGGCATTTCCCGGAGTACAATTGCCATGACCACTGCCATTCCCGATCAAACCAAGATATTCAAAAAAACCCTATTTTCATTCTCATTCACACCCTTAGATACCTTATCTTCAAAATAAAAGTCACCAGGATTGCTAACACCAGCTAGTTGATTTTCTTTTTGCCTTTAATCAACAATTTCTATACCATTTATTCCACAGCTAATGAATAGCCTTGTCATATAAACAGGATTAGACAGAAGCTTAAAATATGTTTTTAGATGGTACATTTTTAAAAGGCAACTACCTAGCTGATTGTACATATAACGACAAAAATGTTTCATTGCACAGCAATCCAGTTAAGCAAGATTAAGTGGAAACTTAAGGAAAGGTAAATGGATGACAATTTTATTTGGCTCCCTTTGCTTGCATTTTTTCAGCAGGGAACTAATTGGGTTTTTTTTTTGCATTTCAACAGAGGTCACGTACATTAATTGCAATAATTTGCATTAATCTTCCACAGAGAGCTGTGTGTTAAAGAACAACAAAAAGGTTTTCTTTGTGTGTTCCCTATTTTAATCTCTGAAGTGCTAGCTAGACACTCTGAGTCAGAAATTCTCCAAAGCCAGGAATTTTTAAAAGGAACAACAAAACAGCTCATCTGATATGAAATAATCTAAATTAAAATGTGTTTTTATTTCCTTTTCATGCATTACATGTTAACAAACTTCAAATGTAAGTGAAGAATATGGCTTTTCAGCAGGATATTAGAATTACTAGAAGACTTAAGCCTTTAGTGAACTTTTCAACAAACCTAATAACCAAACTTGTCCTTAACAAAAAGATATGGATTGTGCAGACTGGTGTGGTATGAGATTTCTTAGGAAAGGTTTTCATTAAATTGAGGTGTTACTATCAACTGGTCAAAGAACTGTTTTATTAAAACAAGACAGCAAAAATAAACCTACAGAGAGTCTGAAATGGTCCTTGTGTTTTTGGTGCACAACTGAAGTAAAATGCTGGTCACTTGGTTGGGGAAGACGATTTTCTTCATCCAGAATATCCAGTACCCCTATTAATTTTGCTTCAATCAAATCTATTAATAAAACGAAATATGTTTACAAAAATTGAATATATAACCTCATATCAGAACTGAACATTACAAGTTTAAAATGCTACTGATGTGATTCTGCATAAAAGTATCTAGGGAAAGCTTTTAACACAGAATACAAAAAGTTATTGCAAATTAATTCTACATATCTGAATTGTTGATTTAATCAATATCCTATACATACCAAGTTCTAACTCTAACACAAGGAACACAAGGGAAAAAAGATCAGGCACAGATTGTTTGCTTTTTACTCTGGGTCTCAAGCTGAATTTAGTCATCTAATTCCCAAAGGGTTGCTAAATGTTTCTGTGGTACAACCATAGGTCTTTATGGGATAATTGCTTATATTGGTGGGGGTTTTTTTTAAGCTTTTCATCCATGATTCACCATGTCAAAACTGAAAGCATGAAAAGGCCATACTTCCATTCATAACAGGATCCAGGGAGAAAAATGAAATGCATTTGTTTTAAGAAAGGCAGATCAGACTTAAGCATACAGTGATGGTTTCACAAGTTCTTACAAGTGTATTGCCTTGACCTTTCATGGACATATACAAAACCCTTGAAAGCTGACATAGAAATTCATGCTCTTGAAACTCTTAGACACAAGAATTTTGCAGCTTTTAAAACTTTCTTGTATTATCTGCAAAACTGTTCTTGTAAGAGGAATTTTTACTACCTACTTTTTTTCTGTGGAAAAGAAGAAATGACTAATGCTTTTACTGCAGCAATGCCTATGAACTCCTACCACAGACCATAAACAGTATGAAGCTATATATAAAGCACAAAGACAGCCCCAATCCAAAAAATTTATGCTTATAAAATCTGAATAAGCTAATTTAGCTACAGAGATGACTACCATTCCATCAAAACAGTCTAACATACTAATGACTGTTTCTAAGATTCTTCCACAGTGTTAAAAAATTGTCCATGTCAACATCATATCACTCTCTTTGTGACAGTTAATATTTCTACATGTTCACTGCTGTCATTGGCCTGGTCCAACACCTTAAACAAAACTGCATTTCAACAGAAGCCAACATTATTTTTCTCACTCACTTCAAAAGGCAGTAGAAAATCCTTTTCTCCTGACTATGCAAGAACAGAAAAAAGGCATACATGGTGTGGTTTAACTAAGCTATAATTTTATTAACTTACCTAAGAATAACTCATACAATGAAGAAATGTGTCAATCTACGGTGGGATGTCATATGTTGGTTGGAATAGTAAAAGAGGTCATGACTGAGGGACTGCTACTTGTATTCTTAGGTAACCTGCCCAAATCTTTTCTATGGCATGAAAAGAAAACAACCTCTACAACCTGACCCATTTTCCCCCTATGAGTCAGAGACCTTTTTTCCAATAGGCACCAGGGAACCCCTTTTGATCCTGGAATACGTTTTAAAAAAAGCCCACTGCATTGTGGGGGTAAGCAACCCTTTTTATAGAAACATAACAGTTTCTAAACTATAACAACGTTTTTGGGAACAGCCTCATATACACTTTATTAAACCACTACAAGAGGTAAGATTTGTATTCATAGAAGTCACCTATTTCCAGTTGCTATGCTTTTGTTCCCTCCTCCGAATACCTTCCTGTTGCTTTTTCACAAGATGGCTGAAAGTTTTACTTGACAAGAACTGTCTTTAGTTGCCAGTTAGTGACTGTACAGTCCTATCTGTCAAAGTGAAAACTTCTTCAGCAGAGCTACAGAACCTCAGCAGAACCGGACATTTTGCAACAGATGTTAAATTCTGTCAATCTGCTCAGCCAGGACTGACTAGTCACCATAAGCAAATTACTGTAAATGCAAAAGCAAAATGAACTTTTGTTCAAAATACAGCAATTTGGAGAACACAAGTCGTCCACAGAGGAAAACAAACCAAAGCAAACAACAAAACATCATCATCATCATTTTAAGCCTCTGGTACATATCAGTCTGTGGAAGCCTAAAAGCAGCAGCAACAACTACAGCCTGTTGCCTATAGTTCATTTCTTTGCTCACTGGCTTAAAAAAGGTGGGGGAAATGGGATGGGACTTTTTTTATTTCATGGAATATTTTTCCCCAAACACCCTCACACCCTTCTTCCCTTTATTTATCCTATTTAGGTGTTCTAATTAGTTTTCTAGGAAACACACAAGAAATTCCCAAGTCCCAGCTGCAGTTATTACACACTGTAGGACAACATGGCTCTACTACCATCCAGAACTGGAATGTTATACAAAGCTGGAAGAATTCACACAAGGTTGCAGAATCATTAAAAAGCATAAAATTACTAGTGTTACACATATTTTGCCTCTTCTGCTTGAAGCTTCTTTTCTCCATGACACTAATGAGCAGCTTGACATTTCAGGAAGTACATACCTATACAGTCCTGATTATCTACATAGCGCACTTCATTAACCCCCAGGCCTTCTTTTTGGTAAAGTTCTTGTTCCTAAAAGAGAGTAATTGAAAAGAGAAAACAACACTCACCATATTTTTTTCACCCACCAAAAATATTTTTTTTAAATAAACATGAAGACATTTTTAAATACAGCATGAATCAACACAAATTTTGGAACTGTCTTCCACAGCTTAATATATTCCAATTTCACCTCCTTAACAATATGCCCATGCAATTAGATACTCCCATTAGGTATGAGATATTGTCCAGTATCTGGATGCCTCATTTTAATGAATGGTAAAAAAGAAGAAAAAAGACTGTCCGTTTTCAAAAAGCCCTATTCTATTCTGCCACAACCAGATGTCATGCAGTAGGAAAACAGTTTGTCAACTGATTTTTTTTAATCTAAGCATAATGTGCAATCTTATGGAGAGCAGTGCTACTTTAAGTATCTCTACTAAAAAAATAAATCCTCAAATATAACGTTAAATATAACATACCTCTTTCAGAATCCTTTCATTAAAAAACTGCTGCAGTTTTTCATTACAGTAATTAATACAGAATTGTTCAAAACTGTTGTGTTCAAAGTATTCTGAAAAACAGAAGTTAAAGTTCTATGATAAACCAGTGTTCCAAGAATTCCTATTACGTAGTAACTAAGAAAAGCTTCACAGTGCTAATATTGAAAGGTGTGTTCAGATACGTATCTGTTTCTTTCAGTAAAATAAAAACTTTTACAGATTTTTCCAGTTGCACATAAGACAGATATAAAAATACTATGGCAGATCATATTTCTAAGACAAATAACACAGTTATACCTGGCAGCAAACCAAAGCAAGATGTTACTATACAGTGAAACTGTACCAATACATCCTCATGCATCCACGTTACAACAGGCTGGCACAGGATATCATAGCTCTAAAGACCTGAAAACCAAAGGTTCCCTTTTTTCACTGTTCTTGGACCACCTTAGCATGGCTAGAGCACACCAGAAAACATACCCTGTTCTGAATCTCAGTGAGCCAAACAGGACAAAAGCTTTACAGGAACCATCAACACCCACCACTTCTAGGGAACAACCAGGAGCCCAAAGCCAACCCTGTAACAGAACTATCCAGCCTCCAGGACACACCGTCTTAATTCAGAGACTTCATCTGCCTGACTGTCAGTACACCGTGACCTTCTCAGGACTGGGAAAACAGCGTGCACATGCAGTATCTTTCCTAATTTTACTGGGTGGCCACAGTAAGATTCCATTCCAAATTCTGAGTCCTTCAAAAGCCGTATCTATGTAGACACTGCAGGAAACTGAAACCATTAGAAAGATGCCCAGTTTCAAACCAATGCTTGTTAATGTTAGGTCACCAGGAGAAGCCCTAGACCTCCTCTACATTCTTGCATCCAGGAAAATGAGGCTTTATCTGCTCTCTTGATAACTTCTTAAGCCCTTGTAACCCATCCCACCCACCACCACCAAAAAGAAAACCCTCCCACTTTCCATTGCAGAATTTATCATTGAATCTTTGATGGCAATAATAGACAAATCGTTTTTTGGTTGGTTTGTTTTTGGTTTTGTTTTGTTTTTTAAAAAGTATACTTACCAAAACCAGCTATATCTAGAACTCCAATGAAGGAAGAAGAAGTCTCAAATGGAAAACACTGGTTTACCCTGTTCACTACATGGTCAAACAGATGACTATACACTGTTTTAGCCAAGGCATCACGAGCATTGTTTGCTTGTTCCACTTTCAAGGGTACCCTAAAAAATCAAAAATACAGATCTTATTTTTCAGAATTCCTTACTCTGAAATACTGAGATTAGACTCGAAACTTAAAAAGACCCTTTCCAATTATTGTAAATTAGGACACAAAGAAACCTGAGCTCTAGGCCCAGGTAGGAAACAAACTTGCTGAGTTAGTCTAACTATCCTACCTGTAAAAAGAAAGAATAATGCTTCACTATCCTCAGTAGAAGTGAGATGCAGATGTTTTCATACTCTTTCACAAGCTAATTAGAAGCTATATTGATATTTGCCAGAGAAAGATATGTAAAATACATACATTCCCATCTACAAAAAATATTTCAACTATTTATTTCTGAACTGCCTAACTACAATAAAATCTATAGTTCAGTTTTGCTCTGACATCTTTGTGCATATGCATTCATAAGGGCTATGACTAAACCTATAAGGCTGTAAGCTAATCAGTAACAAAAATGAAAATAACATAGATAAGGGAGTGTGTTCTCACAGTGAAAGTTAGATGCAATCCCAAAATAAGGATTCTTTTTAAACACTGGAAGAAGGGGCTTTTTAAGAGATGAGAATTTACTCTCCCTCCTTTATTTGTAAACCTTTATTCTGCATTGTGACTATTTATTACAAGTTTATATCCGAGTGTAGCAGCTAAAAAAAAAAAAAAACCCAACAAAAAACCCCACAAGTCACAACTTCAAAGCCTATGAAATGCATGACAAAACCGTGGGAATATCAGGCAACTATAACTACATATTTAGCTACACATATAATAATGTATATCTAGCTATTTCCTAAAGTCAGTATGACAGTGACATGCTTAGAATGAATGTATTTCAAAGCAACTTTAACCACCTCATTTCCTGCATAAATACCTTCTACAAGACTTTTTTTTAAATACGTTTCAGATTAACAGATAAAAGTACCAAAACTAAAACACAGTTACACTGTACACAGCTGAGGAAGCACCTATAGAAGTCTCCAGAATAAGACAACTGATACAAGGATAAAGCCTTAAGGAAGTGTTTAAGAAACAACGTGAAAGAAGTATGAAAAATGAACTTTCAAGCTTTATGGTATGATTGCAAATTGCTCTTAGATCCTAATCATGTTCCCAAAGAATTCAAAAGCAAAAGTCCCACTAGTCTGAACAGAATCACACCAGAACAACATCAGACTGTCAAAGATCAAAACTCTCCAAAAGTTTTTTACATGTCAGTAAAACAATATAAATACAAAGGGGAAAAAATTAAATTGAAATATTGATAGCCCCTTGACCAGACAGTATCAAAATTTCATGCATGGAAAGAAGGCCTACAATTTAGAACAACTGTGGGTACACAAAGGCTTTGCGCAGCACTGTATCATGACACACAGATAAACAGTGTTAAATCAAAAAAAGGATTTTTAGAGAGAGAGCCTTTGCTAACCAAACTGATAAAATTTGCAGGGAGGAACAGGGAGAAATAATGTCAAGATTTTTATCACACCAATCCTTTTTGTCATGCATAATACACGATGATGGCTGTGTGCCAAAAGCTCTTGCGCTTTTTCTAAGTATCTCCATCAGTTGGCTTAATAAAACAAATCAGTTCTTGCTGTATAACACCCTATATTACTTCTCCCTGTATACCTCGCCTCTCATATCCTTGGACCACCAGCACTACAGTAACGATTAGCAATAATCAAAGGAGAAACTGTCCAGCTAAGGTGGTGGATAACCAATTATGGAATTTCAAGTATGCAGCAAAACTAAATTTAAAAAATACCTCCTATCTGAACTGTTTAAGTAAGCCCTATGTACAAGGTTCAAGATGTCACCACTGCAGAACTGCCCTGTCGCCCCCTCCAGGTAGTTTTCTCTACACAGGAGTATAAAGAACTGGCAGGTGAGAAAAGAAAAACTTAACGCTACACAGCTTACCCATATCGCACCGTTTCTTTCACTTCCCAGGACTCACAAGCACTAAACTAACTCATAATTATTATTTCTGTATTTTTTTCAAGGGTGATACTTCTGATGCAGAAACGTGAGACTGATGAAGATCACTTTCTATTGTGACTGGCGGTAAGTCAGGGGACCAGAGACTCCGTTCACTAAGGACACCTGCAGCTACATTACATTATAGAGTAATTAGCTTTAACATACAATCTTGTCTTCCACTAAGTATCTCCTGACTTATCTTAAGGTAACGAGTACTGACAGAAATCTTATCTTATAAATAGAAGGAAGGTACCGTTACACTCCACTCTGATACGTTTAAGAGATCAGAATACTAATTCCCACATGTCAGCTGCAGGCCTATTACCTAATACAATACACATTTATGCTTTCATTTTTTTTTTTAAATTATGTTAAACAACATGGCCGAGTCGTACTTGTAGAGCATGTATTTATAAAATGGCCCTGTGCTTCAAAAATAATAAATTCTGCCATTATTAAGTAGAATTCCAGAGACTGCACAAAACCCTACTGTTAAATTATCATAGTATGCAACGGAAACCCATGGAATGAAAATGTAACCCTGCAATGCGTTTTGCACAGCTGAAAGTACAGAACCACAAAATAATGCTGAAATTGCACTGAGCCAGTCAAAACAGAAGACCCCTATTACAGAATGGAAATTCAGCATAAATAACTTCCTTCTTGTCAGCTTGCTTTCCCTGAGCTCCTCCTTTCCTCTGGTCTGCTTACTGACAAAGGAATCTCCTTCCTGCTCCTGTTCCTGTCTGAACAGGAAAAGATGTATTTTTCCCTCCTCCATTTCACCTTCTCCCCCTCTTCCTCCATCCATCAGCTACTTGTAAGGAACAGAGAAGAAATTCTTTTGATTTTCTAAGCTATTTGGCAAAGCTGCAACAAAAAAAAAAAAAACCAACTTGTTAGGTCTTCATACTAATTTCTCCAGTAAGGTTTCCAGTGATCCAGTGTCTGAGGCCTAGGGGAAAGCACTCCCATGGGCTGGATTTATCCTGTGGACAATTCCATGCAGTCCCCAAACACTTTCCAGAACAAATAAACTGCAATTAAAATATGTATAATCTGCCCACAGTTGTCAACAATTAAGAGAGAGAGAGCAGGTGAAGTGATACCCATCAATCACTGTCACCCAATCTGGTTACTGCTCCACAAATAAAATGGCCTGGATGAAATGACCCTGAAAGGCCTACGTAATTAAAGAATATAAGCAACACATTTGTAATCTGAGAAAAGTTGAAGCTCCAAAAACTGTAGAAAAATATTTTTTTTACAAAAAAATCATTTTTGAAGCGACTAGCCTCCCCATGTTTTTCCAACAGAAGCTTCAGTACCACCACACAAAAAAAAAAAAAAAAAAAAAAAATCCCCCCCCAAAAAAAAAAAAAAAAAAAAAAAAAAAGCATTCTGGTAGAAAACGTACTCCGAAAGAAGGTGGAGGACCTGGAATGATGTCAGTTTAATTTTTCACACTGTAAAATAATTTTCTTTGTGATGACGGAGTTCAGTTTGAAAGCCTTCTTGGAAAGGAAGAAACTGAATAAGAGATTAGTACAGTGCATTTACAGTCTAAGAGGTGTACCGCCTTTTGAATACTAACACATTATTTCTCTCTGTAAACACACTTTACATGGACGGCAAAAACATCAGCCAACAAGGTGATCATTATGCTCTTTTTGGGAGACTAACAAGGACAGATAAACGTAGTGCAGCTGTCAAGTCTCCCTGGTAGTCCACTGCACATTAGTATTTAATAAAATCCACAGAGATAACATTTAGCATCACCCTCCTACTGTTCCTTGCTGGCTCCATTGTGCCCAGCAGAACAAAGCCTTTGTTATATTCTGAGCACAGTGATTTCAGCTGAGCTATTTATTCACTGTGACCTATTAGGACTCACATGATCTACTTGCACACAAAAGGTCCCTAAGAGTGAGAGAGAAATGAGGAGCTCTTTGGGTCGCTGGAACAAAAAGAAACAATGTACTTATCAAAACTCTAATACTGATAGCAATCAAATAGTTTCTAAACTACGCTACCATAGAAAAACCTGGTGACTACTTAATAAATATCTAAAACAGTCCAATCGACTTTCCTTGCACATGCAGTAAGCCACACAAGAAGATATTAGTGTATTTATTCGCGTACGTTTGCTTTTAACTGCACAAGTTTAGAAAAGGCTAGAGAAAGAGGCTTAATGCATTAATCCTTTGAGATGGTGGAAGAAGTCCTCTGAATTAGTTTTTGCCATCCACAAAGTAAAACATCGGGGAAAAATAAGATCTGCTGGCACAAAAACATAGCTTCTTGTGTTTGCAGACTTTTGAAACAGCACACTGCTAACAACGCCCCAGACTTATCAGGATGAATATGCTGAACAGAAAAATCTTTACAGTCTTAATCCAAAGCGAATTTGAAGCAGTAACAAAAATGGTATTTGTTCTTAAGAAACCTTCCTTGACAGGGTGACTTGAGATGTGGTGAAAAGGAAGCAGTACATTATTATACACCTTTGCTTTAGTGCTTGATATGTCCCACCAAACATTCTCAAAAGGAACTATACAGACTCATTTTATCTATATGTTACATGCACAACAGCCAAAACTGATCTGTTCTCAGAGGCTGAGTCAATAGTTCACTGAGAGCATTTCCAATGGGCTGCCACCTGAATCCGACATGGATGCGGTTTGTTCAAACCCCTTCTGCTTCTAGTTAACACACTCACTTAAAAGGAATGCAAAAATATTTTCAAAAAACAGTCTGATAATACTGAACTAAGAAAGTAAAAAATCTCGGTAACAAGATTAGCATACAAACTTATTTCCACAAATTGAAGATATGATCTAAAAATCCACAAGACAGACTTTGGTAAAGGAAAGTGTGTGGTGGTGTACTTAGGAGAATTCAACAATACATATGCAAGATGGAGAGTAACCAGGTAAGCAGTGAGTCAACAGAGAAAGACCAGCAGTTATAGTGGATCACAAGCTGAATTAAGTAAAAAAATGTTACTAACTTTCAAAACCTGCAATTCTCATACCACCATGCGTTAATACGAGTACCATCTATACTGTACAATATATAATTTTCTACTCTAATGGTATCTGTAATACTGATGAAGGTTCTCCTGGATGAATATATCAAAGATGTTGCTGTCAATTCAGACATGGTCTGGAAGGCAGGAAATAGTAAAATTTGGAAAATACTGGCCACTGGAGGCACTTTGTCCTGAAAGACCCATGTCTTCTTACATGTAAAGGTCATTATAAAGAGAAAAATTATTTGTAACTTTCCATATCAGCTGATAAGGCAGCAAGATGATAGGGACTAAGAGTCCCCAGTTCCTAGTAACTGAGGGGAGAAGAGCAATTTATAACTACTTTCCAGAATGCACTATTGAATATAGTATATAGAGATCTAGATCTTGAGCTTTTAACTGAAGGCAGAATAAACCCTCCTTAATCACTACTTACCATTTGACACCGCATTATAACTTTTTCCATGGCAGTCACTATGAAGTTCTAACTCTTGAACATACCCTCTTTCAAAGTACAGAAATAAGCAGATCACCAAGAAGTCTACTTGTGGGCAAGAAGTCTACCTGTGTGTTCTGTCTAGAAATACACCTCAAGGATCAGCTATTTGGTAATAACGTGTTACTGGAACAACAGCCGATACCCATGCTAAACTTAAGATGCCCGAATAAGAGTTAATTCACAAAAGCTTCTGCATTCCCTTAAAAACATGATCTTCAAACTGCACAGGCTGTCACTGATGGTTTATTTATGCTCAAATTTTGGCCAGGAAGATCAGTTTCACCCTGGAGATCAGGAAGCGGACACTGAACAGTATTCCATTACAGCTATTCTCTTTGAATTCATCATTATTGGTTAGAATTAGGTAGAGATCCAGATTACTTCTCTGGTACAGAATAAGCTCTTGACCACTGGAAACCTCCGTTGCTCAAATCCGTTACACTCCTTGAGGACTAAAAAAGCTTGTGCTCTCAAGACCAACTTTTCACCTCATAAGCGTGACATAACCTAAGCATGCATTAACCTTGTTTCAGTCCACAAGTTTATGAAATGTTAACAAATACTTCATACTATAAGACAGAAACATAAATAGTGATAAATTTCAAAAGACATGAAATACACAAGGAACATGTATAAACCACATTAATACAGATAATTATGGCTTTCATACAGTAAACTTCTGGTGTAATGTGCATAAAGTTGTCTTTCTGATTCACTAAAACAATCTGTTTCCATAAGACAGTAAGAAGCACCCGTGCATTTCTTCCAATCAGTGAAGTGAATGTTAATTAGCTTCCTAATTAAAAGATTGATGCATTCAGCTAAACATTGAGAATTACTTTTAATGTGCTCAAAATTGTTTAGCCCAAGTTCTGGTTTTGATGCAATGTTTTCTTTAACTCCAGAAAATACACAACACAGAAAACCAAATGTTAAAACACACAATTCAGTTGCACACAGCTTAGCTAGCATCCCTGACGGCTTGCGTGCTAGAAGGATCAATCTTAACAAGAGAAAATTTGTGGTGGAAGCTAGAGGTTTTCCATAAACAAAAGGCAACTGTAGTGAAATAATTTTCATAAAACTCAGTCTCACAAGAGTACTAACTTCCATGGTATTGAAATGTTATTATCAGTACCATGTTTAAACATCTTTGCAATTATTCCTTCTCCATGTGTGTACAGAAAGAAATCACTATCCTACTTCTGTGCCTAGGAAGTTACCTTGGTAATAGCTTCTTGTCAAAACAAAAGGGATAATCGCTCTTTTTTTAAGGTCACTATTTACTTCAATAGGGATGTGTTCTTAATAGCTACAGAAAAAGAAACCCACCTCCTTTCTCTCAAATTTATCCTCTTCCACTATTTTTTATGTTTCTATAAAACAATACTAACTTTGCCATCAAGATTAAATGTTTCTTTACCAGCAACAGCAAGAAGCTGTGCATTTCTGGACTACCATTTGCAGTGGTGTTTTTAAAGCTGAAACTTGATTTCAGAGGAATTAGATGTGGCAAACACAGGGACACTAATCACCTAGACACTGAGGGGGTGGATATACTACCCTCTAATTAGAGCATCCCAGACCTAATATCACAGGGCAGCAGTCACAGGAGCACTGTGCAGCCCCCCGTGACAAGAAAGATGCATCCAAGTATCTTCTGAAATACTTTAGGCACAGCATTAACGTTCCTTGATACAGTGTATCTGTCAAATCTATTAGCATGCCTAATGTTCTGGGCAGGTTATGGATTTAACAGGCTGAATGCTATACTTTCTTTTGCCACAGAGCGTACTCACTGACATGTGAGAGGTTTTGTAAAATGTGGTAGTTACTTACTCAAAGCTGTTCTTTTCCTGAAAAAAAGGCCATTTTAGTCAGACATTGTACAACCGCCACTTCCAAATAAAAATAAAAAAACCTGCAATGGCCTAACAACAATGAAACAAGCAAGCCTGAGCATGTAAAAATGTGCATTTGGATCAACTGGTTTAAAAAAAAAAAAAAAAAATGGGGGGGATCAAAGCCCTGTTAAAAATTTGTCATCTCAGAAAAATTTGTCATCTCAAAATTAACACTTGCATGATGGAAAAGCACAGCACGTTGTTTCTGTTTTGAAGGGACTAACAAGGTAAGCCTGCTAGTCTTCTGCACTCTCATATTTTTGTAGTTCCACGTTCGTTGTATTTTGTAAAACATGAAGTAAGCATTTTAAATAGCTGCACGTACGCTAAGTGCAACTCAGTTCGTACTTGCAAAACGGTCCAGCGGGAGTTTGTGGCCATTTTTCCCTTTTCCCCGTGGGTAAGAAAACAGGCAAAGCCTGGCAGGAGGCAGATCCCAAATGCCCTGGGCCGAGGAGGGGAGGGGGGGGAGTTTGGGCAACGCGTTACCTCAGAGCGCGGCCCACGGGGCCGTGGCGGGAGGGGTCAGCGGCTCCCAGCCCCGGCCGCACTCACTGCAGACCCCCTCCCTGAACACACCGGGGGCACCCCCGGGCCGTCCGTTTCGGCGGCGTTACGACGAGGTTCGTCC